CATGTGGATTTGGATTGAATAATGACGACACTTGATGATGAAATATTGAAACACACTTTATTTACCAATATTAATCAGGAGAGCTCCAAAACACTTTTACAGTCGTCGAAGATCTACTATAAACATGCTGGAACAATCAGCGACACAGCCTTCACACTGTCAGGCTATCACGGTGGAGACAGCTTCACTGCAATGCACCAGAGTACGGCTCCCGACTCTGCTCGGTCGTTCTCGGAACTCTACCTACTCTCGAGACTCTCCACGTTACAACACGCTACAACTCTCCACGCTACACTCGACGACACACAGAGCACAGCTCCCAACTCTTCGGTTCGGTCGTTCTCGGAGCTTAACACACTCTCTCAACTATGTACTAACTGCAATACACTAAGAGACTCTTCGATGCACTCGACGACCCACTCGGCATCGCTGGCCGGCTGCCAACTCGATCGTCTCCGCACGGACTAACTAGATGAGACACACACATAGTTTGCAAAGTGGGTGAATTTTCTTGCAGTACTGTAGCACGCTGCTTAAGCTGCACATCAGTCTCTCTCATCTTTGCATCACATGCATTTCAGATGGTTCAGTACTCGCTAACTGCGACTTCACTATCAGTTTCTACCAAATTTACTGTCGCATTTTTGCATTATTTCATCTCTACTTCAAGCATTTGAGAATCAGGAATTTTATTTACATGAATTATTTCTTCACCTCTTTCAGAAGCTTTACAAGCCACTTCATTTATGTTTTTATCTTTGCAAACAGTATTACCACTGTCTTCCAGTTCAACTTCGGACACTTGAGGATGAGAAGCGTCTTCCCCATCTTTTTCTTCATCTTTTCGTTTTCTTTCTTTAATCTCGTAAGATGTTTCATCATTTATTTCTTAAGCTTTCTCGGATACTTCACCAGCTACTTCCTTCATTTCTTCATCCTCTCATTCTTCAGATGCCACTTCCGTCATTTCTGCACCTTCTTTTATAGCTACAGTTTCTTCTGCAAGCTCCACTTTCACCTGTTGGAGTTGCTCTCGCACCCTTTCTTGGCCGACATTTATTTCTTCTCGTCGGGCTTTCTTCTCTTCCAGTCCGGCTTTCATCTCCTTCAGTGCGGCTTTGATCTGAGTTCTCATCTCTTCATATCCAGCTTTTATCTTTTCCCGTCCAGCTGTCATCTCTTCCTGTCCGGCTTTCATGTCAGACCTCATCGTATCATATCCGGCTTTTATCTCAGCTAAAATGTCCATCAAACTCTTCATCTTTGCCATGTCTTTCCTCTGCAGGCGAGTCATTGGCAATCACTCACAAACCCGTGTCGTCGAGAGCATCGCAAGTTGTAGCGTTTAGAGTCTCGAGAGTACGTGGAGTTCCGAGAATGACCAAGCAGAGTCGGGAACTCTACTCTGGTGCTTTGCAGAGAAGCTGTCTCCACCGTTATAGCCTGATAACCTGAAGGCTGTGTTGCTGATTGTTCCAGCGAGTGTATAGTACAACTCCGACGACTGTAAAACGTGACTTTGGAGCTGTCCTGGTTAATATTGGCTAAATAAAGTGTGTTCCGATACTTCCTCAAGTGTCGTCGTGATTCACTCCAAATCTACAAACCCCGTACGAACGTGAAGGAAGAAAATAACGTAAAGATATATATATATATATGTGTGTGTGTGTGTGTGTGTGTGTGTGTGTGTGTGATGCTTTGGCCGTCAGGTACATGAGTGAAGCTTGGCATCGAATGATGACGAAGAAGTTAGCTGTTTTGATTCCACATCTTTATTCAATTCAAATGGCTAATCATTATTCTTTTTGATTCTCCAAGATTACATATGATTATATATTGGAGAAAAGATTGTATCGTATATGTAATCTTTTCTCCAAGATTATATATGCGATAGTACTTTAAACTAAATAGTATTAGCCTTAAATTTACTGCATCTTACTATTCAAACAAAGAGAGACAGACGGGAAGAGCGGCAGCAAAGATCTAATAGCGACAGGAGAAGAAAAGCGGTCTGACTAAAAATGGCGCGAACTTTGCATTTATAGCAGAGATTACATAGCATGCCAGAATATTTTCGAAATTACTGGCCAAGGGGGAAGATCCTGAAACTGCGGAATGTTAATTAGAGGTTGCCTGCTCGCGTAGAGCAAAGCTATCGTATTTTTTATATTTTACATATATATATATATATATATGGGGGGTGTATAAAATATAAGAGAAAACTAATAATTTAGGAATAGTCCTTTTAATTCTTCATTTTATTTTTTTCAGACCCCTTCCTGTCTTAAACTACTAATTATATGAATCTAGATTATGTTATCTGAAAATTAATTCGTTTCGTGCTTTCTTATGTAATGCTGCAAAGCGGACGGCTATCATATAATCAGATCAAAATTTAAACAAAGGAAATTAAGTCTTTAAATATCGCTGCTACTAAATGCACAACCTTTATTCTGTTTCGCTTGTTGCTTGCAAACACACACATCGTTTGCTGCTCGAGCTCGCCCTTTGTCTAAAAAGATGTGAACTTTATTATATTGTGGGGTGCATAGCGCTTCGTGAATGATGATGTGGGAATGTCTTTAGGCGTATCAAAGCTTGCTTTATTATGAAATAAAACTATGTTAAATGAACGGCCAACTCGTCTGAAAGTTTTACTTCTCCGTTGTGTCGTCTTATGTATATGCGCAGCTTTCCTCTAATCTCAAATATCTACAGAATTATACCGGGTGATCAAAAAGTCAGTATAAATTTGAAAACTTAATAAATCACGGAATAATGTAGATAGAGAGGTAAAAATTGACACACATACTTAAAATGACATGAGATTTTATTAGAAAAGCAATAATTAGAATCTTATCAGAAAAGCAATAATTAGCATAACAAATTAAGACAAAGCAAAGCTGATGTTCTTTACAGGAAATGCTCAATATGTTCACCATCTTTCCTCAACAATAGCTGTAGTCGAGGAATAATGTTGTGAACAGCACTGTAAAGCATGTCCGGAGTTATGGTGAGGCATTGGCGTCGGATGTTGTCTTTCAGCATCCCTAAAGATGTCGGTCGATCACGATACACTTGCGACTTCAGGTAACCCCAAAGGCAATAATCGCACAGACTGAGGTCTGGGGACCTGGGAGGCCAAGCATAACGAAAATGGCGGCTGAGCACACGATCATCACCAAACGACGCGTGCAAGAGATCTTTCACGCGTCTAGCAATATGGGGTGGAGCGCCATCCTGCATAACAATCGTACGTTCCAGCAGATGTTTATCAGCCAGGATTATGCGATTATGTAACATCGGATTATGCGATTATGTATCAGCCAGGATTATGCGATTATGGACGATGCGATTATGTAACATATCGGCGTACCTCTCACCCGTCACGGTAGCAGTTACAAAACCAGAATCACGCATTTCCTCGAAGAAAAAAGGCCCGATAACAGTAACTTTTTTTTTTTTTTGGTTCTAATAAAACCCCATGTCATTCTAAGTATATGTGTCAATTTTTACCTCTCTATCTACATTATTCCGTGATTCATTAAGTTTTCAAATTTATACTGACTTTTTGATCACCCGGTATTACGTTTAAAAAATTGATTTCGTTACATTCATTAATTTTGATGATGATATAAATGTTAACGATGAAGGCTGATTCACAAAGAAAAACAATGGCCGATTCATTATTGCTTTAATTTCTTCAGAATACAATTCTTCACACAAATGTGCATAGCTAAGCTGTTTGCGTGAAGAATTGCTTTCAGGTCCCCTTTTTTAACAAATTTTTCTATTTTTCACATTTTTCAAATAAATAAGAAAAGCGGCATCAACACTAAATCTTATGAAATTTGTAAATCTCTTCTAGTACGAAGATCTTCTGAAGAATGATTTAGTTTTGTTTTTGATTGGTTAGTTTTAATTCGCAAATTTCAGAATTACTATTGTGGTTGTTGTTGGGAGTTATCTCACTTGTCCGACAGTAACATCAGAACAAGCCCACGAAATGTTTCGTGGCTTCGTAAGATTGCGCTTGTCTTTTAGTAAGAACCTTGAGTGACAGTACAACTTTACTCATTTCCGCCCCCAATTTCGAGGGAGAGCACCTCGGTGGGAAGGGTCCAAGGTTCTCCCACCTCTCTTTCTCTACCACAACCCTTCGAGATGACTTTCGATTAGCCGCATATTTAGAGTGCTCTCATGCCGCACAGACACTATACATTTACAAATATCCATGCTTTCTCCGGGATTAGAATCCGAGGCCTTCGGTACGGCAGTCAGCGTCTCTAACCACTTTACCAGTTGGCGGCTCAGAATTATTATTGTTGGAAGAAGCAGTATGTAAAAACTTATTAACTTTATCCCTTCATACATAAATATCATACGATATGGATTAATGTTTGAAATAATGCAGTTCAAAGAAACTTCTAATAAGAAGTTACTTTGGGGATATAGATAGAAAATAACCAAATTAAATAAGAGACTTAAGTAACTCTTACAAATTAAAATTATAATTTTGTTTTATTTTTTATTTTGTTTGTTTTATTTTTAAATATAAATCTAGTAGAATTTCTGTTTACCGTTTTCATAGAATTTATAAACAAACATTATAACAGCACTTTAATACTCCCATTAAAAAATAACCGAAACATATAACAGTGCACCGAATGTAAATGACACTGTGTGAAATGCAACACATAATTTCCGTTAAGTAGAATAACGAAAAACAGTGCAATGCTGTGGTTGATGAAACAGAGAATGTGCCATTCTTTTTAAAGAATTTCGCACATTGTCTAAAAGCTATATTAAAACATTTTTTCGGAATGAACCCTGGCTAAAAACATTCCTCACACTTTGATAAAACTTCAAGTAAATAATATGGTTGCCGTTTTTGAAGCACCTTAATTCAGCGTTCAAAACGCAATTATACATCATACTTTAATTTTACTTTTCTTGTTTAAAATTATATTAATGGTGTTCTTGTATGTTTGATTTCTAAGGTTTTAATTGGAGATCGACCGGTTACCAAGACAGTAGACAGGGAACACAGAAAAATTTCATCCATCTGTCGAGAAATCAGCCCTCCTGTCGCTAAAGAGTCTCAGGAAGAATTTTTAGAAAGATCACACGCGGTGGAGATAACTATTCGCACGTGCAAGATTCCATCACAAACCGACAGGAGTAAGGCCGAAGAAAAGAAACCAAGTGCAACAAAAGTAATTTTTTATCTTAGTAATTAAAATATTGTAAATACTGATAAACTTTATAAACAAATGCTGTCAAAATATGTATAACAATTTGTGGAAAATGTAAATTAATTTAAAACATTTTATTCCATATATACTAGTATGAGACACTTATTTTTAAATTTATATTTATTATCCCTATTTTAAGAAACTCAGCCCTAACACTTTGCCCTAACATAGAGCAGACATTTTGGTAACATCATAGCGAATTTCGGTACTTCCTTATTATAGCAGCCCGCAAAATTTAATCGCTGATGAACCGGGATATAACATATAGCCAGGTAGAAGAACACTTGGTAAGATTTTGGTGAGATATCTAGGTTGATCAGGGATTCCGTCTTGGGGGTTGCTTATAAGAAGGAAGTACCCAATTTATTTATGAACAAAATAAAGCAATAAGCGGTAACGTATTACTTTGAATTTAAGCTGTAGTACGATTTTAGATTGGGAAACGTATTTGAAAATTACCATCCTCCAACTTTAAGCCCAATATAATATTAAGTTTGAAAAATTATAAAAATAAAAATAATTTTATAACCGATATTATTAAACTGAGAAATAATTTTACGTAGTTAAATAGTTGTTAATATTAGTGTAATAAACTACCTAATAGAAGAACACTTGGTAAGATTTTGGTGAGATATCTAGGTTGATCAGGGATTCCGTCTTGGGGGTTGCTTATAAGAAGGAAGTACCCAATTTATTTATGAACAAAATAAAGCAATAAGCAGTAACGTATTACTTTGAATTTAAGCTGTAGTACGATTTTAGATTGGGAAACGTATTTGAAAATTACCATCCTCCAACTTTAAGCCCAATATAATATTAAGTTTGAAAAATTATAAAAATAAAAATAATTTTATAACCGATATTATAAACTGAGAAATAATTTTACGTAGTTAAATAGTTGTTAATATTAGTGTAATAAACTACCTAATTTATTGCGAATCTTCTTAAGGTATATATTTCGACGTCTTCACTTTCTAAATTCTAATTTTCATCTTCATTAATACATCAAAACACATCATCCTCGCTTCCATTAACTTACTGGTAATGCAATATTTTGAAAAGGATTTTTTGATAAGTCGATTGTTCAAATCGACTTATAAATCGCCCCATCGCCGGAAACCCGGAGATCGTATAAATAAAATATCAAAAGTTATTCTTTAAATTGAAGTCTTAAATTAAGTTTTAGTTTTAATCCAAACAAAAAGTGCTGCTTAAATTTGAAATAATACGTTATTCGTATTCTGCAATTAAGAATTGAAAGAGTGAGGTTTGAAATCGCTTTTTTCGACTCTTTTATGACTTTTATCCGATTCTGTGTCCCGCATCCTCTAATTGGGGGGGGGGGGGAGATTAGAACAAACAGCAAGAAAAGGCTTCTTTGCACTTTTTAACAAGGTTATACCAAACCACAAAATTTGATTGCGCGGTACATTACATAAATAATGAGCATAATTAATTGTAAAAGATCACGTGTGTCCCTTATCCATTTTATGAAGAATTTGTCTTAGGAATTAAGTGAAGAATGTTTTTTGGGAAGTTTGAGCTGAATTCTAGAGAGCGAGCTCCTCGAAAAATGATCCCCAACCAAATTTCAACATGCAAAGGTCGTTCGCACGTTTTTAGACAATTTTCATTGTAATTACAGAAATATTTTACCTAAACTTTTTATGTTTTAAATATTCTTTTTCATAACCCTTATTGACTGTCTTTATACTTCGTAATTTTTAACTAGTAATTGATATCAATGTATGTAAAGAGAAGGTACTTCATATTTGAAAATTGGGTATAGAATATGTTTCTGATAATACGTGAAGCTGATCTTAGCATTTTCCTCATTCTCTTTATTTTTAATTTGCCGTTATATGAAAAACCAATAACAATCATAAATCTCTTAGAAAAACTTTCTTTAGATTCCTTGAACCATGTTTTAAGACTTTTTTCTCCTCATTTATGGTAATAAATGGGTCACCTTTTATTTCAGTCATTTAAAGTACATGCAAGATTCGTCTATTTTGACAACAGTTTTCCATTTTTGTCCGGATAAATGTTTCTTATAAAGAATTCCGCAGTGCGTTCTGCATTGTGCTATATGTCATGGAGGCACATTGCGTGTTTTCGCCTTTTTAAAATTGAAATTAGCATTAATCACTTTGTTTACAGTTGATAAGGATCATTTTAATGGTTTTGCAACTTTCCTTTTCACTTGGTGGATTTTTTTTAACATTAAAAAATCTTACTTTTGTAGCATTCGAAACATTCCGTTTTTTCCTTGGATACGTATTTGGAACAATTTTTCCCCTTGAAGCGAAATTTTGACGTTTTTTCCTTCATTTGTTTACAACGTTATCTATCGTAGCTTTAGATAATGGCAAATCATGGCTTTCACAACGTTTCTCAATAACTAGATACGAATAATTTTCTTCGGAAAGAACACAAACATAGCCTTCGATCCATTGCTTTTTTAAAAGAATGGAGTTTGCATGAAAACAAAATTGTCAAGTATTAGACGAATGATTTATTCTTTCAAAAATATACTTGCTGTTACAAGAACAAATTCCACCAGAATTTGTTTTTTACTGCGAAGCAAAATCGTCTAAAAAAAGTGCGGATAGTTAGTTTCTGTATCTGTTTCATTTATTTGGATTTTAATTTGAGCCTTTTGCTTGTATAAGGCTGCTAAAATCTTATGCGTGCTTATCAACTAAAGTTATGAGGATTTGAGCTTCAATTTATCTATAATAGTTTAACGTCATTAAAACTGTCAAAGACCAAATCAAGTTTATATTTAATTTAAAATTCTTATAAAATAAAATTGTGAAATAAGGCTCATGTTATGTGCAAGGAAAAGAAAATATACTCTGAAATTATATTTAAGCATTTTCAGTATTAATACTGAGGATTCCTTTCAGGAAGAAAACACTACAGATTTTTTCTGCTATTTAGTTACAGACTCTAGAACATCACCTAAATATATGATTACAAGAATCTGATAGGCTTAAGCGAATATTTATTAAAAATCTCAAAAATTGTTTTCCTTGTGTAACTAAAAATATTTTATTTATTTATTTACAAAAATACGCTATATTTTAGGTTCCTGAAGTACAAGCCACTGGCGATAAAGCTCTAGAAAAGACAAAACCTCCACATATACAGAGAGATTCTGGGTCTAGGGATACTGATGAGCTTCGTAAAACGTCGAGCGAAGAAAAGCCTTCACCGGAAGAGAGCTCAGAAGTTTCCGGAATGAAAAGCCCATCTGGACATGTGGTCAGACGGAAGCCGGACCAAACAATGGAAAGTTCTTCCGCCAAGTCGAGCAGTGATTCGTCCAAATTTGCCAGTAGGATGGAACAACCGGAATGGATTTCGTCCAGTGCCGAGGTACCTTGTTTTCTCTACTGACATTAAATTATTTAAAGCCGTGAATAGAGAAAGAGAAATGTTGCAAGAAATCTTAAACAGACATTTAAGTTTTCCGAAAACTGTTATTTAAAAAATCTGACGTCTACACCACATGACTTCCTTGTACGAAATTTTAAATTATACGCATTTTTTCTTGCATTTCATTTACGCTTATTAGACTGAATTAAAACTACTTTGTCGATAGCGCATAAACCACAATAAATGCACTCTTTAAAATTCATTATACCAGTTTACCATAGCGACGCCCTGGCACTAGGTTTACTTAACAGCGTTATATTTCATTCATATTATAACTCAGAATGCATAAAATTTATGTCATTTGAAGAATTATCTAATCGTTGCCACATGCTCTATTCAATCACTATAATAAATCTAGAACGATGTATAAAAGAAATTAAGCAAACAAAACAAAAAAGAAACAGTTTTTCACAGACAATTCAGTATTTCTCATGCAATTAATTCAGTTCTCACTTCGCGACAAGGCAAAAATACATAAAAACTCAAAATATCTGTATTAAAAATTACGAAGTAAATCTTAAACACTTAATTACTTGGAAAAATTCCAGAAAGGATTAAGTATGATTTAATTCGCAATAATAAATGAAGGCGTTATCTTTGTTGTTGCAAAGCTTAGTCTTTCTTTGTTGACAACAAATCTACTATTCTGCTGTTTTAAATGTAAACAACATGTCCGCCATGTTATTTAAAAATTAGGCTTAACCGCACTTAAACAGCTTTTAAATTATTGATAATTCTACAAATATTGCTTGCAAATTTCCTAGAGGCATAAAAACCTTAACCGGAAGATAAGAGCAACAGATTTCAATCATTTTTAAAGCAAAAAATGCAGAATTTACAAACATATAAGAGTAAAGAAACTGAGATCACTGAGCCGGGTAACAGAGTGGATATATATATAAATATATTTATATACGTTTCGTGTGCCGATTGAACCAAAATACGAGTTGCACATCTGCATGTTATATAGCAGTCCTACATACAAAATTTCAACGTTCTGAGGCTATTCTTTTTGATATATGCGAGATACATACGTACGTACAGACACCAAAGTAAAAACGTCATTTTATAATTCCTTAAAAAAAAAATATAAATTTTTATCAATAGTATGGGATTTCAAGTTATTGGAATGTGTTGTCCTGTTTGTTGAACTTTAAAACGTTTCAGAGGAATATTCTTTCGTGTTTGAGTCATAGAACGCTTTTAAAATGCCTTCCAACGCAAAATTTTAACGAGCATTTTCATACCCCCAAAAATCATCATTAATATAACGGAAAATAATAGAATTTTTTTTTCTTTCTTTCCTTCTTTAAAACAAAACAAGAACAAAAAAGGGGGAAGGTAATTTATCATTTTTCACACTCTTTTTATAATGTAGTTTCAGTCAACCTAAAAGGAGTGTCATGTTTCCTAAAACTGTGAGAGCCCACCAGCGGCCGAGCGGTAAAGTCGCTGAACACTGATAGTTCGGTCCGAGGTTCGAATCCCGCGAACGGGCTGGCTGCATGGGCGTTTTCGTGGTTTTCTCCATGTGTAACGTGTATACGAGCCAGTTGCCCTTAGAAAGCCCTCCACGAAGGCATCCCTCCCCTTAGGCAGATAGCCCTAGTGTGCTTTGCCATAATTAAATACACCACCACCACCTAAAACTGAGAGAACGTTGTATCGATAATACAACGGCAGAAGGAACCAAACTTCATTAAATTGCACTTACTTGAATCTCAGTTAATACAGCATTTGAAAATAGTATAAAACTACAAAATACCATTAGTATTCCTTTTCAAAATTAGCTGGCTTTAAACTTAAACGTTTTGACGCCTCAAACTTTCGAAAATTGTCTGTAACCTTTTATAATCTGTCATTTGCTTTGAGTTTTAGAATTTAAATGTTGCCCAAATTTTTCCTTTCAGTGCTACCATATTGAAATGATAATGACTCCTTAGAGAAGTTTAAACAGTCCAAAATACACTCATGTCCATAAATTAAGGATAATTAGGAGTAACGCGGAAATCGAACTTTAAAATAAATATATCACCTGTAAAATCACTACACACATCTTCAAGAAGCATATGCAAATTTCACGAAGTAACCAGATGACACCTATGGTACGTCACAATGACGAGAGTGTAAGAGAGTGATATATAAGGAATACAGGCAAAGAAGCAAAATTGTTCGCAGGCGCTTTATAAGCATTTCAGTGCAATAACCGAATAGTTATAACACAAAGGATGCATTTAGATGATTTTTTACGTGGTAGAATTGTCGGCCGTCTGGAATGTGGGCGTACCCAACTGGAAGTATCAGACGAACTTGGAATTGCCCAGAGTGTCATCTCCAGGCTTTGGCAACGATTCCAACATGATGGTAATCTGAGTAGACGTTACAGCACAGGTCGCCCCAGAGTTACAACTCCGAATGAGGACCGGTATTTGGCAGTTACTGCCAAAAGAAACAGGCGGAGCACAACCTCAGACCTATCTCGTCAGCTCTCTTCAGCCATTGGTACGACAATTTCAAGGCAGACCGCGTGCAGGCGCTTAGGGCAGATTCGTCTATATGCTCGTAGACCTGTCAGATGCGTTCCACTTACTGCAACTCACTGTCGACTGCGGTTAGCCTGGAGTAGAGAGCATGCATTGTGGACACCGTAACAGTGGGCTTGTATGATGTTTTCCGACGAGTCCAGGTTTAGCTTGCAGTCTGATTCTCGCCGGACTTTCATATGGAGAGCTCCAGGTACCCGTTACCACCAAGAAAACATCATTGAACGACACCGTTACGGTGGTGCAGGAGTGCTCGTTTGGAGTGGAATTATTCTGGGTTTCAGAACTGACCTGCATGTTCAAATTGGAACCATGACAAGCCAAATCTATCGGGAGGTCATTCTGGAACAACATGTACGTTTGTTTCGGGGCGCCATGGGCGCACAAATTGTGTTTATGGATGACAACGCCCGTCCTCACCGTGCAAACATCGTAAGCGAATGCTTTCAATCGGAGGAAATCACAACGTATGGACTGGCCAGCATTCTCACCGGACTTGAATCCATTAGAGCACGTGTGGGATATGCTTGGCCGACGAGTTGCAGCCCGTCAACCTCCTCCTACATGTCTACCGGAACTTCGGAGAGCATTGCTTTTTGAGTGGTGTAATATCCCCCCAAGATCAGATCGATAATTTGATACTCAGCATGCCTAGGCGTTGTACGGACTGTATTGCATCGTCTGGGAGACATACAATCTATTAACAATCATACCAACCATGTAATATTGGTTTTTTGTACATAGGTTTTTTTGTAATTTGCTCCAGGGAGAAAAAATCGCTAATTTTTTTAATAATATCAAACATATAGTATCTTTTTTTGCTCTTTACCTTTTGTTTAATAAATAAGCTTTACAAAATAAGTCAAATTTGTTTTACTTCTAACTCTTCCTTTGCCTGATTTTGCATTATCCTTAATTTATGGACATGAGTGTATATTCGGCAGAAGCCTGATGCTTTCGGCACTTGGTGCATGTGGAAAAGTCAGGGAGCTTCTATCACATTCAAGGTTAAGAGTCCAACCAGGTTTTCTAGCTGAGTACTAGTGGTAGTTGGGGGACCAAGCCATTTCGCCATGATTTGTGATTTTTTTCATAGAGTATAGCTCCAGATAATGTGAAGGGCGGAAGAAGATGAGTAAGTTAAAAGACCATAGCCCTTTTGTGCTAATTTGTTTGCTATTTCGTTGCCGTAAAGATCCACATAAGAAAGGATCCAGAGTAAATGGATATTATGGTGCCGGGAAATTAGCCGTAATTTTTGTAGTTTTACCACCTACAAGAATCCAATTATCAAGATGCTGTAGTGAGCAACGGCTATCAGATAAAATCCATAGATCACAAAAATTCTTTTCTGTTAGTATAGCCTCGAGCCCTAAATTGAATGCTATCAGTTCATTCTAATGTTAAATGTGCGTTTCTGGAATGTTCTAGAAGCTATTTATTATATCAGTTGGGATTGATGAGATAAACTGGTGCTTTGTACTTGCTTTTTCTCAGGTAAATACTAAAAGGGTTGTTGTATTGTTTGCTTTGACTGAGTATAGTGAAAACAAAGCAGAGCATCAGATTCATCTCAACCTAAGTCCTAACCTAAAATCGAAGAAACATTTTGAAAAACGTAACAAAGAAAGAATAGGCTAGATGAGAAAATTGAGATTGTAAGAGTTACAGAAACAAACAGAAGTGTGAAACTCACTTCGCGGGCAGGAAATATAACTCGGAGAAAAGGTTTTCCCCACTGTACATGTGTAAAGTTGGTGTCAAAAACATCGCCATTCAGGACTGTAAAGCAGTTTTTATTCTATCTCAAGAATGTAATTTGTCATCAAAGTGAAAGTTGTGCCTAAATCGGAATCTTCCCAGAGAAAATAATTCAGGTTAGAGTGGGTTATTTGGATTATGATAAGGAGTGACATTAGGTTAATGATTAACATTAGGATGATCCCGGCAATAATTCTAATGACTAACATTAGGACTATCACCGGGATCCGAAATTTCCCTTCCAAGACAAAAATGGAGGACAAAAGCATTTTGCTGATTTTGATGCAACTGATTATTACGAATAATATGCCTGGCCATCACTGATTCTAGATTTTTACGCGTAATCTAGTCAGTTTAAAGAAGCTTGAACTTTCAGAATCTAAGTAGAGATTTATGGACATGGGACCAAAGAAAAAAATGGGACAAAAATGGGACCAAAGAACAAATCTTACTAAAGTCCTGAACATAACAAAGTTGAATATATGATAACATTTTTTAACCTCCAAGACAATCTGGAATTAGGGCATATTTTTAGGTGATCCATTTAAAGAAAGTGGTAAAGTTTATTATGTTTACTTATCACTGGAAATTTTCTTTTCTTCCTTATTGGATGAACGTGTTATATGGGTTAAATAA